AGAACCAAGTGGAACCAGGACCTGGACAGTGTGAGTCCTGGTCTGAGTCCATCAGAAGCAGAAAACATGTGAGCAGAACTTAGTGGACTCTGGTCTCCTCCATCAGAACATGTGAGCAGAACTTAGTGGATTCTGGTGTCCTCCATCAGAACATGTGAGCAGAACTTAGTGACTGAGTCTGTCAGCAGATAAAGACTGAAGGAACCAGAGAAGTTCAGGAATGAAAGATGGACTCACTTTAGTTCAGTTCCTGCTGTGGAGCCTGAAGTTAATCTCTGAATGTGAACTGGCAGTTTGTGAAGAACTCAAATCCCCATCATGCAGTGCGACAGGCTGACCACAGGTGGACCCACCTGTGCGTCCCACTGATGCTCTCTGAGGAGGACGAGGACCAGACTCTCTCCATCCTCCACAGTTTGGGTCGAGACCTTTGGCTGGTTTTAGCCACTCGACATTCTGGGCAACCTTCAGCATCCATGGCTGGGTCACCTGCTGCCTCTGAACTCTCTGGTTCTGGTTCTGTTCCTGGTTTCTCCTCTGCTGTTTCACCTCCTCCTTCTCCTTCATGAGCATCGGGGCTTCCTCCCTTCTCTTCGCCGTCCTGCTGCTCGGCCTCATGGGTACTGTAGTCCAGGCCGGACTCTTTGGAGCTCTTCATCATCTGCTCCTGGTAGTAAACGTTGATGGCTTCCCTGCTGGGCACGTTACCCTGAAACACAGACGGAGAACCGGCTGAGGCAGGTCCTCCACTTTTGCGGCACATTGGAAAGAACATTCGTAGTTCTGCTGCGTACCTGCTTGGCCTGTTGAGTTAGCATGCAGCGCTCGATGCGGAGGACGGTGGAGATGTCGATGTGTTCCTGACACAAACCACTGAGCCAGGCGGTCAGAGAGTCCAGCAGGGCCGACAGCAGAACCCAGCAGAACCGCAGCGTGTTGGAGAACCGACGCAGCACTGTGTCTGAAACACACAACGGCAGCTGAAGATACTCGTCGGCCACACGTCTCAAAGAGAAGGAAACCTTTTACCTGGTCCGTCCTCCGGCTCCTCGTCCTCCTCGTCCTCCTCCGTTACTTCGATCACCCCGGTTTCTGAGGAGAACCTCCACGTTACTGCTACAGAACCCACTTTAACACGTTATTGACAGAATGTTGGTAAAACATGTTCAACACTGACCATGACCGTGTGCACTCGAACCAGGAGGATGCAAATGTTCTTTTCTGACTGATAGAAAGTTATAAATCTGTCATCTGTAGCTCTGGTAAGCAGTCCCAAACTAGTCCAA